GTGCTGTAATATAACACACAGCCCACATATGACACTGGAGAAAAGGTGGAACAAATTTATTAAGGAAATGATCTCTGGTAAAGCCCAGACAAATAAATTATTTATGGACTCTCAGAAAGATGTGTAGGATGGGCTCAGAAAGATCTAATTTTGTAATACCAATATGTCTCAATAGGATTACCATTCCTAATTTTGGGCGGGGTGATGCTGTATGAACTGGATGTTGGCTTGATTCTTTTCATTGATCCAAACATAGTTCAGGCTATAAAATTAAGTACAGTTATGTCTTATTTCTATGTATAATTTTGCTATAGAGCTGGAACAATTTTTTCTCAGTGCTAATAATGACTTATTCTTATATCTTCATGTTTCAGTTTGTAAGTGTACTTACTGCATATGATAGTGACTCTGTGGTCCGGTAGAAGTTCACTGATGTTTCAGAGGAACATATGCCTCCATCTTCAGAGTCAAAGAGTAAGCCAAGCAAAGATCCAGCAAGAAGTAGGTGGCAAGCTGGAAATAGGCTGTATGTTCCGCTGAAATGTCGGCATCTATCAGACTACGTGGCCTCGCATCTCAGTAGACACTACTCATGTACCCTATGTAAGTGTATTCATTTCTAAATGAATTGATCTCATAAATTTGTAATGTATGTTTTGATCTCTTGTACTGAAGAATATGTATTTTGACTGTTTTTTCAGTGTGCATTTACGTATGTAAACTTTTATAAATAGCAGTTGTAACACAAATGTTCCAGAACACACACAACAAAGATGCTCTTCAGGGACACACAAAGTATGTATAAGGATGTAACATATTCGTCTAAATTTTAACGTCTTACAACCCAAGGACAGAATGCTTTCAAATTTTTTGTAAAGTACATTGGACCCCCCATTTGTTGTTCCTCGATATAATGTTTTCCCTCATGTAACATTCATTCACAATGATTCCAAATCAGTAATCTCAGTGTTAGATTTCTTCTGTTTTAGTTTCTCTGTACTATAGTGTTCAAATCCACTTTTCCCAAAAGACACTATAGATGGGGGTTTCACTGTAGTGTATGTCTTTGGCCCTTATTGTGGTACGTACCCTGTTCTCCATTTATGATTGTTTATAGAAGATCTAAACTAGGTGTGAGATTCTCATTGTGGTGAATGTGAAGATTATTATTCTGAGATATTATGCCATATACTCTGGTAGAAAGGTACAATGTTCTGGAGAAACCTGCCACCCCTCACTTCAGTCCCCTTATCAGACTACACATCACATCCCAGAAAGCCAGAAATTTATAGAATTTCTTGATGAGATGAGTGACTTATGAAGAACCCTGTTTCGTATAGTGTATTAGAGTGATGTAACATCATAATTGTATAGAAAGATTCAGTACTGATGTAGAAATTGTACATTTAAAGGTTGTAGAGGAAATTGAGCTGTATGTGTTATTCCTTTGCTTTTATTTAGTCAGTTGACCGAAATACTCTGCATTATTGGAGATAGTTCCCTGTTTCGTGTAAAGTCTTTTATCTTTAAGTATTTTTACCAAGAAACAGAATCCTCTTTCCTCAAAATGAACTTTATTTAGTGAGTTGTTGAGTGTTTTATGCATAGGGCAGCAATGTACTGCTTGTTTGCTGTTCACGTAATTTTAGATGGGAACCATATAAAACAGCCTACTGAAGAAAATCATCATTAGCTTCACTCAGATTGCTTGTGATGACAAAACTAAAATGCAGTGGTTGCAGCCGTTATGGAAGGAAAACAAGTACTTATTTTAAAAACATTTTTTATGTATTTTCTTTCACAGAAAAGTGAACTTCCCTGAAATGTTACAAAGTGGCTGTTTATGTCAGCCCCTGGATGAAAAGAAATGGATTGTAATTGGAATTTAGGTGCTCACAGTGGTTACTATGAAGAATACTGTTTTGTGCCATGTATTTTGGCAAGAATGCATATTGCCTCTTTTTGCTGGTTTCTTGTGCTTCTCTTTGACCCCAAAGTTTGAGGCAATATGTTCTTCAGAAATGTTGGTGGACTTCTATTAAGTATACAGCTTTGCAACCCAGAAGACTCTTTGAGCAGAACATAGTTAAAGGAGGGTGATGAAGCAGTGCATCTATGTGAGTTTATTTTTTTATCGCTAGTGGGGTGGTACTAAGTCCCTTGTACTGCGGCCACTTCTGGCCTATTGTACCAGCCCAAGATGATAGGTGAGAGTGATTGTGGAGCAATTGGTGGAATGAAGATTGGCAGGGGAAACCGAAGTACTCGGAGAAAACCTGCCCCAGCGCCACTTTGTCCACCACATATCTCACTTGACCAGACCCGGGATCAAACCCGGGCTGCCATGATGGGAAGCCAGTGACTAACCGCTTGAGCTATGGAGTGGCCTTATGTGAGTTTAACTGCCTTGTTCATCTTTATAATCTTTACACCTTCTCTTCTACTGTAACAAGGACTGGGACCAAGTCCCTTTCATCTGTTCCAGTGTCGTCCTACTTCACTGTATTTTTTTTTTTCCTTGGCACTACAGACCCAGTGGGCCTAGGCCTACCTCCATGAACTCCGTTCACTTCGGTTTTTCTAGATCTTACACATATGGTAGGACTCCTTGGGCGTGTGATCAGCTCATCACAAGGCCTCTACTTGTAGACAAACACAGAAAAACGCACACAAACATCCATGCCCTGAGTGGGATTCGAACCCACGATCCCGGCTTCCGAGCGAGCGAAGACAGTGCATGCCTTAGACCGCTCGGCTACTGTGACCGGCACATCACTGTTTTACACTGGTTATATGAAATAAATATGTTCTGTATGAACATCAGCAAAATGCTATGTCATATCTTACACAGAGGTATCAAGGGATCATTTTTATGACATAAGAAGCTGCATGGCTGATAAATCTTGACTTTTTGTCTGAGCATGAAATACACTAATGCATATGATATAGGCACCTTTCTCACTAACAAGTAACATTGATAAGTTAATAACATGAAATGGCTTTCTTAGGTAGGTTGTTTTACTTAGGTCTCCCCTTTTGTTGTCCACATTTTACTGTTCTTTAGCAGTTTGTTGTACACATATTTTTTTATTAAATGTATCAAATGATGATGATATGTTGATGTTACTGAGTAATTTCTCCTTTCATATATGTTTCCAGTTGATGTGGGCTGTTCCCAGTGATCCTCCTCTCTGATCTTTTCCCATATTATTCCTTCTTTCTGTGTGATACCTCACCTCATCTATTGTTCCCATCATGACTGTGGTCTTTCTTTTTGACAGTTTTGTTTTGGCCTCATGTTCAGGTTTTTTGGAATTCTATCATTGGTCATTCTTAAAGCATATTTATTCCATTGTATTTTTATTTATTAATTTATATTCCAATGAGTTTATCTTTAAATTCACTGTAATTTTGTCATTTCTTTCTTTATGTCTTTTTTTTTTTACTTCTGCATATAATCTCAGTTTTCATTAGTCATCTGATAACTGCATTGGTCCGTTTTCATGATCATACACTAATATGGATATGTAGTAGCTTTCAAATAGGTACATTTTTCCCTTCATAGGCATTTTCAATTTTCAGATCATATCTCAGTCTAATTGGTAACAGTTTCCATCATTTATCATTGTTTTACTTCCTAAATACTGCAAGCTTTCCACTTTATTTCATGATTATTACAGTCCTTTATTGTGCTTTAACTTTCATAACAGTATATAGTTCGCTTGCAGACTAAAACCACAGAGTTTGTTTTTTTGTTTGTTGTTTGTTTGTACATTTATCTAAATTGACATTTAATTCAAGGCCTTGATACATTATAAAAACACTATATAATTTTGTTTCTAATGGTTTTTAATTTGTTTCCAATGTGTTTATAACTTTCTTATCTTCATATATCTTAGACTCTGATATTTTATTATCTTGTCTGTCTGTTGTCCTAACAATGAAAAATTATTTCTCTCTCTGGATCACACACTGACATAAATAAGAAAGTAATGTATTACTTTTTTAAGTAATTAGTAATCATTATTGTCAGTCTTAATGCAGTTATCTCTTTGATCAAGGTTTCTGTTGGCCCTTATTCTGTAGGTGCTACTTCTGCTCTCTGTTATCAATTTTATAATCCCTTTTTATAGTATTTGGTCCGTTTTTATTGATTTACTATAGAATACATAGTAATGAAGGACAGTATTGTTGTGTGAATACATGACTGCAGTTTAAAGTATTCAGTGTTAACATTTGCTTCAAGAAACTGAGCAATTCCACCAGAAATCCCAGTCTGCACTGAAGACGTAATTGTTTGTCAAAATGAAGATGACTTGCTTCAAGTATTGTGTGACAAAGTAGGACTTCAGTACTGTCCATACTTTTTTGAATTATTGTGGTATTAACAACAAATATACAATTTAAGACCTATTTGAAGTAAGAACCAACATTGCAAATCATAAAGACGGTGCATTAGTTTGGTAGTTGCAGAAACCATTTTTGTATTATTTTTTGAGTAGTCAAAATTCCTATGTGTTCACTTCAAATAAGGTATCCTTGCTTTTTAAATTGTTGATTGAATTGCTGGCATACTATACATACTTTTTGCAATATTGATTTGGGACTTAAGACCCAAGTGAGGATTTATTGATTCAAGATCATTTACTGGACTATTTTGCCACTGTTTTGGTGAGTTGTTTTTTATTTCTGTCTGAAGTAAATACCTGTTTTATAATGACAATAATGCACTGTACCCCATCTTTGGAATTTTGAATACTGTTTTTGGGAGATGCAAGGGGAACAGGTAAGTTTTCAGTTTTATGGTGAATATGCATGTCTTGGTTACCAATTTTTAAAAGTGTTTCCCAAGTACATGTATTAATTGCCTATTAAAAATTGAATGTTTATGCACACGAATTCTAGGAAATTGTCAGAAATTTAAACACCCTCAAATTGACCGCGAAAGTGTCCGAAAATACCCGAAAGTGAAATGACATGACGTCATTGTCACCTGCGAAAGAAATTGGAGTAGTTTTGATGTATTTGTAGGAAGCATGGCAAGTATTTTTTTAATGTAAGATCCGTAATTTGTACCAAGTGAGCTGACAAATAATTAGGACGGATGTTTGTGAACATGACTTAAATTGACAGAAATGCAAGATTATGCAGTTATTCTCAGTTCAAAAGTGACCATGCAAGAAAATGATCATAAATCGGCAACTGACGGGCGGTCGCCATCTTCTAGATGAGTTTTTCTTCTTTCTTGTGGAATTTATTTTATTAAAATAATGTGCGTTTATACTTGAATACGTAGTGCTTATTGGCGTAAAAAGGATCCCAGTACTTTGAAAAATACCCTGGATCCGAAAAAGAGGTATGTTTTGTTCCTGTGGGTACATCGTTCAGCGCAACATTTTAGGTGTGCATAACTTCGGGAGAACAGTGACAAGCTCCGTAATATTTTATTATAATTTAAATTGTGTGCATTATGTGGGTTATTATACCCTATATAAGCAGCGTAGAATATGATAGAAGTGCATCGTTTAGGATAGCTTCTCAGTAGTTGTGTTTATAAAGAAGATAACCGTTGAAATGTGAGACGAAATCAAGATCTCGCAGTGAAGGAAGCAATGAATGTCCGAAACAAACTTCATCTTCAGGTATTCTTGTAGAGAGAGGATTGCCTTGTATGCTTGGGATGATGCCTTGAATTATTTTCTTGTCATTTGAAGTTTCAGTGACGAAGACAAAATTTTCATTGGCTTGGCAGTTTCGTTTTGAGGTATAAAATGGTTGCATTAAGTGTAATGTAATTTAGATTAATATAGTGAATATGGGAATGGCAACCCTAACCTTAGCGTTCAGTTTGTGCAGATTTAATACACTTTATACCAGATATTATTCATTTTATTTAGAGGTCACATTCAGCTTTAAGAATTATTGTGAGCAGTAGGATTTATTTGTATTCTAACCAACCTTGTTGTACCTGAATCTACAGTATAACTTAATTAGCACAGTAAATAACTGAAAGGGTACATTTTGATTTAGATTACAGATGGAGCATTGCGCAAAACAGGGGGGATGACTGAGAACCGCTGGACCTCGGGAGGTGGTGAGTTTAGGTTTCAGATTTTATTGATGTTAAGGGATCATGCCTGACTTCCTTATTATTTTTGTGGAATGTTGTGGTAGATCATGGTCAGTAGAATGCAGGCAACAGACATAGTCTTTATGATTTATTTGCACAGTCCCTGCTGTAAACTAAGGAAGAACAGTTTTTATTTTGATAGAGAGATGCTGTTGATTCTCTTCAGTTGGTTTCAACTTAAAACATCAAGGAAGTAATTTGTGTATGGGCTTTGTGAAAGTGTTTGATTTGTCACTTTTCTGAGCTCTCCCTGAGAATAGGTTTCTAGTTGCTGGTCTAATACCCCATATGAGAATGGTAGTAAATTATTCTGTACATATGTAATACAATCCTTACATATGTTGATGCAATAAAATTTAGTTTTTCCTGAAATGATTACTTAACTGTTGTGCTGAATGTTGAAAGTAATTGTCGTGTGTTAACATGTTGAACCACTGGACTCTTCAGGAATTTTGATGTTTCTACAGCAAATTGAGAACATTTAGAATTAACTGTATTGTCATATCAGAAGCTTTGGGTAATTTTACGTGAATTCAGTGCTGGAGTAAGGCTTTGCAATTTCCTAAGCTCTTCTAAGGATAAGGCCTCTGTAATTTTTTTTTAAAATAAGAATTAAATAATAATCTTTTGTGTGCAACTGCATGGAGATCAGGAAGCTGTTATTTCCTTGGCAGCAGTCATGTGGCCACACCAGAACTGAAAGCAAGGAGCATTACTGCTGCCCAGTGTTGTTTGACTGTTGTAGGTCTTGTATTCGTTGTTTGAATCATTGCAATCTGACGAGATGAAGTCAGCTGTTTGTTACCTTGTGAGGTTTACAAGAGAATGTTATGTTTGTTTCATGGCTAGTTGTTTTTCTCTGCATGACTGCCTCTGTGGTCTAGTGGTCAGTGTTCCTGGCTGCAGATCCAGAGGTCCTGGTTTGATTCCTGGCACTACCAGATTTTTTCTGAGAAGTAGTGGCTCTGGAATGTGGTCCACTCAGCCTTGTGACGATAATTGAGGAGCTGTTTCAAAGAAATCCAGTATAGAAAACCGAAATTAATGACCACGGAGATCCGTTGCGCTGACCACGGGACACCACCCTCTATCCACAAAAGTTGGCACTAAACTTCTCCGACAAGCGGCGGTCGATTCGTCGGTATAGTTCACTTGCAGACTAAAACAGCGGAGTTGTTGTTTGGACACACCTTGGATTGTGAGGCCCTAAGCTCTAGTTTTTTTGCTTATGTATAAATTTGGCACCACCTGATCCTCACTGATTAATTTCTCAGTTTTGGAAATACTGCTAAGAAAAAATTTCAGTTGATGTTAGTTCATTAGGTTTGCTGAGCAGATATGCATTGGTGATGCCTCATTGGCACGTTCAGCATGGAACTGCAGTGCATTGCTTCTGCTTACCAAAGTCAGAATTATTATGAGCGAACATTCTGGAAGATTCTGAAAGCTGCGTTAGGGTCTGTAGTGTGTAATGAATTGGAGTCTGTTACTTTGTGTAGGTAAAGTGAAGTTTTCCATGTACTAATTAAGCACCATGCCATGATGATGTATGGGTGAGTGGAGGTATAGCTTCACACATTCTTGTGTGCTTTTATCTAAACAGTTGTGATGATAGTGTGCCCATCCCTTGACACTGCATTACAGTACATCCTCAGGCTGTGGCCGGAGGATATGTGTTGGGGTTATTTTATAATGCTGCTGATATCAGAACTAATAATATTGAATGATAGGATGATTAGTGAACGATGAATTGGAAAGGGTTTGGAAGGAAGTGGTCATGGGATGGTTGAGGTACTTTCCTCTCATTTGCCTGGCAAGACTAAGGAAAACCATGAAATACCTCAGTCAGGATGTCCGGTATCCCAGCTGAGGTTCAGGTATCCTTAAATACATATTGAATAAGCAGTTCTCTGCAGCTGACAGCTTGGAGGATTGGTTGGGGGTTTCATAACCACTCACCTTAAAGAGCACGTGTGTTATAAAATGTTGCATGAGGTCTCCGATGTGTGTGCATTCTTTGGAATTACAGAGAAGGTGAAAGTATTGCAATGTGGTTGTATGAACTGGGCTTATCTTCCTGAGGACAGGGATTACTGGGGACTCTTCTGAACATGATAGTGAACATTAAGGTTATAAAATATTATCAGTGCCATCCAGTGTGATTGATAAATGTTTTTGCTCCTTTTTAATCTTTCATCCTTGACATGTTTTGGTTAGAGTGACCATCTTCAGAAGGACATATCAGTACATGTGGGAACTACTATTACAAAGTGATTGGTCATTATGAGTACATACAGACAATACTATTACAGTGTCTTGAATATAAAATATTAGCCTTTAATGACTAGAGTGTTGTGCCTGAATTTATTAAAATATTTATAAATTATTATAATTAGTTTATTTACAAGTATGGTTTAAAAAACTTTGTTAAAATCCAGAACCAATTTGGATGATGTCTTTTATACTGCTTCTCTTTAAAAGAAGGTGATGTCTGCCACATTGTGGTTCTGTTGTCAAGTAGGATTCTTTATTGTCGTCCCGTTGTTCGGGCCACGCCGTGTTGCTATACTCTCACACTGGATGGAGTTGATAATCTTTTATGGTATTACTAGTGCGATGGATCAGGATGAACCAAGTCAAACATTAAGGTTCTGTAAAAGCAGGGAATCTGTTGACTAGCTGAACAACTGGTAGTTTCTCAAGAAGGACTCTGCTCCATGGTGTGTGTGGGTTGGCTTGTAAAATAGCTTGTTGGTTGGTTGGTTGGTTGGTTGGTTGGTTAGTTAGTTGGTTAGTGAATTGCAGCAGCCTGCACTTTACACATTCACTCTATAGAACAGCACAAAACTTGCATGTTGAATCTTATAAACTTGAATACACCACAGTACCACTAACAGTTAAAGCCTATAATTTTATGGTATGTTTTTAGTGAAAGGGTGTCTTCAGATGGTATTGTGTATTCTTTTAAACACTAAGGACCATGTAAATTGTATCAATTTGTTTATTTAGTGGTGGGATCAGCATGTTATGTTGTGTAGTGTTGATGGTAGGATGATCAGTTTGTTGGACAGGATGTGGGGGAAGCTGTTGTGACCTAATTTGAGGTACCATCTCAGCATTTGCTTGTAAGGACTGTAGAAAATTATGAAAAACCTCAGTTAGAATGGCCACTTTCCCAGCCAAGATTCAAACTGATCATCTACCAAATGTGGGTCAGAGGCATTGTCGGTGAACCAGCTTCCTTGATGGCACTCTGTCAGAATAGTCATGACGCCATTAAGATTGTCTTTAAGTTAATGTGTGAGGGTTAGTTTTTGGCTTGCTAAACTTCATACAATATGCTATACCATTTTGATAAAATGAATTCTTGCAGTAGAACTGTTGTAAGCCTCTCAGGTTTCTGTACTTATTTCGATGTATAGGCATGGCACCCTGGAAATCTTTGCTAGAACATGTCTAACTTTCTGGCATTCCTCAGCATTGCAGAGTTTGCCATTTATATTTAACCCCTCAAAGACTGAGTTCCTTTTAAGTAATATGTAATATTCACTTCGTACCTCACAGGAAACAGATTACATCTCTGCTGGAAAGGTCAGTCAGTTAATTCCATTGAGGGAAAGAGCCGTCATTTACTGTGAGAACCATACAAAACATACAAATACACTGTGTGGACAGAATGCAGAGCTTTAGTGTAGTCTGTATAGTGACCACTGGGCTTTAAAGGGCAGAATATTATATATCTGTAGTCACCATTATGACTATCTCATTGTATTGTTTTAGGACCTTAATTGTGGGGCATATACAGACACACCCTTCTTGTAGAGCTTTACTGCCTAATCTGTTGTGCCAGTCCCATTTAGAGTGTGACAGATTTAATTTCTGTTTATTCCACTCTTAAGTCTGTGGCCGTGCATCGATATGGGTGGTGGTGGTGTCATTTTGGAAGTATATGCTGCCACCTGAATTATATGTCATATTTTACAGGATGGTTTCCAGATGATGAAGTTAGTAAAAGAGTTCATACGAATATGTACCCTGGGGGTCTTGCATAAACAGTTGGAAAGTGTTGGCTCCCACCATCACAGCCTTAAAAAACAGACATTCCAGTAGTCTTTTTTTTTATGTATCACGTCGTAGAGATCCATTTGGTGCTGAGCTTTGTGTTGATGTTTGCAGTACTTGGTAGTTGTTCGGAATATGCAATGCAGCATGTTATGTTGAGAGACACTGATACATATTATATTTTGAGTGGGTCTGAAGCAGAGTATCTTGGGAAATCATGTTACTTCCAATCCAGCTTGGAAAGTAGCTGTTCATGTATTGAATTACCACCGATGCAACTTATGCTTGAAGAGTGCAATGGAAATGTTACAGATGCTGTTAGAAGAGACAGAGAAAAACACTCTAATTACAGAGTGTCAAATCATCATGCTTTACTTTGAGTTGGCCATTGATTCTGAGGGATGGGAATATTTCATGAAATGCGACAGGATGTTGGCTGTCCGCGCTCTGTACATAATATTTGGATGGAAGAGGAGACTTCAGGTCATTGCAAGACAGTCAGTTGGTTGTATCAGGGCTCTTGCAGCTCTTGCAGCTCTTGCAGGTCCATCAGATGCTTTTGTGCACTGTATGTTACAAGAAAAGCAGCTGTACCCCTATCTCATTCTGTCTGCAAGAGTTAGTACCACACAACACACTTGCAACAGTTAGCCAGAGACCCTGTGTTTGCAGCAAAGGTTTATTTACAGACAAATCATGCCTCACTAGGCCTTGGATCACCAACACTCACAATGAACATGTGGTCAGATGAGCTCGCCATCAACAGTGACAAGTTTTTCAGCAACCTGTGCGCAGGAATTTGAGATGAGTGCCTCAAACCCTCACATTTTACTGACATGAGGTAGTGGCCTCAATTATATTATCCCTTTGAAGACTGAATTTATTGTAAATAATATATAAGA